TAAAATAAAAATAAATTATCAATATTTAAAATATTTTTTTATACAATTATTTTTTATTATAGAGATTTATAAGTTTACTATTTGTACATAAGTGTACATCAACATACATAATTACATATGAATTGTTTCTTCAATAGAAAATTATTCAATTTTTCTCTTATATTTCTTTTAAAATTTGAGTAAACTATATTTTAAAAATATTTTTTATTATTAAATAGACTAATAGGTTAATAGGCCAAACTTTCAGAAAGGTTAGATTAGACCTATTAAAAAAACCTATGAAAGATAATAGGTCAAGTTTAGACTTTAATTTTATAAAATAGACCTAACCTATATATTCAAAACTCGACTTAACCTAACCTATTCCCATTCCTACCAATCAGAACAGACCTAGCCTGTATATTCAAAGCTCGACCTAACCATCAGCTTTGATACCACATTTAGAAAGTTTTACACCAAAGAGCACTTCGCATAATAGGTAACAGTAAGTCACATGAGTGAATTTGACACCACAATATAACTTATAATCTTAAGGCATTAGGTATGAAGGTCTTTCTCACTTGTATACTACTCAACATGTCCAACTCTATCAAATATGAAGCTTCACTTCACACTTGAATTCTAACATAGAGATATCTGTATGCACAAAATAACTACTTCATGTGAAAGTCTTTTTTCCATCCATAAGTATTCAATGGTAGTTTTACTTGCATTGTCGTTGCACATCTTCCAAACTTCTAGGAAGACTTTTAGTACAAGAGATGATCTCACTCTTAGATCTTTTGCCAATTCCATTATTCATAATTTCACTCTTAGATCTCCTATCAATTCCATTATTGAGGATCACACTCTTAGGTTCCAAACCTCTAGGGAGACTTTTAATATATGAGATGATCTCACTCTTAGATTTATCGTCAATTACATTATTTAGGATCACACTCTTAGACCCACCCATTGACCACCAATTTTGTTGACCAATACTTGTCTAAGTCGATTACTAGGGATGAGAATAAGTTAGACCTTAAACAGGGGCTTATGGCCTGACCTCTTTAAAACTTGGCATGGCCTAACCTATTTAATAAAAAGGTCAGGCTTAGACTTTTAAAAAAACCTATTTATATAAAAAGGTTAGACTTAAGCTTATAGAAAAATTGATTAAACCTGATAGATCAATCTATTTATTTATATAATATAATAATAAAATAATATATATATATATATATATACATATATACATTATTAAAAATATAAATAAACAAATAAATTTATAAAATAAAAATAAATTATTAATATTTAAAATATTTTTTATACAAATATTTTTTTCATTATAGATTTATAAGTTTACTATTTGTACATAAGTGTATATCAACATACATAATTACACATGAATTATTTCTTCAATAGAAAGTTATTCAATTTTTCTCTTATATTTCTTTTAAAATTTAAATTTTAACAATATTGAGTAAATTTTATTTTAAAAATATTCTTTTTATTATTAAATAGACTTTTAAATAGGTTAATAGGTCAAACTTTAAGAAAGGCTAGATTGGACTTATAAAAAAAGCCTATGAAAGACAATAGGTCTAGTTTAGACTTTAATTTTATATAACAGACCTAATCTATATATTCAACGCTTGACCTAACCTAACTAATTCCCATTCCTACCAATCAGGACAGACCTAACCTATATATTCAAAGCTCGATCTAACCTGACTTATTCCCATCCCTACCAATCAGAATAGACCTAACCTATATATTCAAAGTTCAGCCCAACCTTGCCTATTCCCTAACATATTACCATTCCTACCAATCAGAACAGACCTAACTTGTATATTCAAAACTCAGCCAAACCTAGCCTATTCCCATCCCTACTGATCACCAGCCACTTGATCAAACCATCAGCTTTGATACCACATTTAGAAAGTTTTACACCAAAGAGCACTTCACATAATAGGTAATAGTAAGTCACATGAGTGAATTTGACACCACAACATAACTTAAAATCTTAAGACATTAGATATGAGGATCTTTCTCACTTATATACTACTCAACATGTCCAACTCTATCGAATGTTAAACTTCACTTCACATTTGAATTCTAACATAGAGATATCTGTATGCACAAAATAACTACTTCCCGCAAACTTCTAGGAATTGTCAGCAATAGGTTCATTCGTAGTGCATTTCAATAGATAAAACAAAACATTGGTAGAACAAAAATGGTCAGAAGTGAAAACCACTTTGTTTTTTATCCACATATGAGAAAGTTTTAAAAAGGTATTATATTACTTCATAATCGTGATGGTCAGCATCTCACTGGCAAGCAATCTTAAAGAACCTGGATAGATGCATCTCTGTGATTTGCTTAATAAACTAACAATTTATCAAAAGCATATCAAGAATCTTGTTATGGTAAGTAAAAATCAAAACTTCTAAGATAGAATAACCATATTCCATGATGTTCTCTAAATATTCTAACAGTATCATGTTATGCTTCTAAGAGGCATGGGATTGTTGAATGAAGAAAAGGATTTGCTGGGTTTGCGATCTGATTAAATGTTTTCTATATCTTTTAGTGTATATAAAAAGAAGGTTGAGTTTTATATTTAAAAATCTACATACGACAGAAAACAAATACAACACCCACCATAAAACACTACAATGAGATAACTTTTTTTTTTCTTTCTAAATGAAAATTAAGGGAAAGAATGGAACAAGTGGAGCAAAAGCGCTGCTGACTATATTCTAACCTGTGCCAGCTAAAATTCAATCATAGGAGAATACTTGTTCAAAACTTAAAACATCACCTTCTCAAACGACAATGGGATTTTTCTTTTCTCCCTGAGATATGCAGTTTAAGAGAATCAATTGGCACAATTCTTAAAACAATCTCTCCTATCGCAATTCTCAACATCCCAAAAACATAATTATTAGCTCAGGATCTTTGAATCCAATAACCTGAAAATGTCTGCATCAACGGACTTTAGACTTCTTTGTCTGGCCTCCTAAAACCCGAAATGATGCACAGATCTTCCTCCAGCATCGGATGGAAATGATCGAGGGTATTACAATCCAAGAGGCATTTGCTCCAATATAGTAAGCATAGTAGTAAAATGTGTTTGTAGAAAAATTATCACCTTCTAAGATTGCTGTTATATAATAAACAGCCGTTCCATATAGCTGGCCCAAAGAAATGGCAAACTGAAGAATGTAGCTATATGACTTCCCACAAGCTATTGCGTATCTGTCATCCACATTGGTAACACAAACAGTTCAGTGAAAAAATGAAAAATAAGAGAAGAAAAAACATGCAATCGAGTTAAATTAGACAAAGAAAGGTCATTAGTAACGATAAGGTTTGTTTGAATAAACTTCTCCGGAAAAACTTTTAAGAGGAAAAAATAGGAAGGAAAAATGAACAAAATTCTCCATAAGCTAAAATTAAGCTTTTAAAGAAGTTTGTTTCATTTTTTTCTTCCTTTTTTTTTATCTGTTCAAAGTGCTTCCGGAGAAATTCATCCATACAAGCCAGTAATGTCATTGCATTAGGTATGTTGGTCATGTCTTTTGTTCTTTATTTTCAACTTACACTGCTAGAAGGCTAGCAGGACCCTCCAAAACAGCTGTTATTCCTTCAACAGTAACTACCCCTGCATCTCTTCCTGCATACCTTGAATCCCCTTTGCTATATTCCTTCCCTGTTATTTGCACATTAAAAAACTTGCATCAACTAAAAAACTGCAAATTCCTTGAAAGTCACTCCAATCTAACAATGCCAAAGAAACTCACAAACTTCAGCCAGGTAGAAGCCAGTCTTATCCTTGAAAAACTCAGGTGAGAAAACAAAATAACCCTCAAGAATCATGTGTGTGAGGCCAGTGAAGGCCCACCAGCACATCAGCACTCTATCAACTTTGGTTTTCTTAAAGCGTCCTGGGAGAATACAAAGTCAAGAAAACAAAATCAGAAACACCTAAAATCATTTCCACGAATCCGGTGATAGAAATTCAAATCACAATGATAACTGAAAGTCACATCAGACAACCTAAACCTTGAATTTGCAACAAACGATATAGTGCGAGTACCTAATTAAAAGAAACCAAAAGGCACCCTATGCGAGAACTTATACGATGAAGCGAGACCACTTACATTATTTCACAAACTACAAATTGGGCTTTTTAGAAATTTAGAGTGGGATTGTTGTTGGAAGCAAGCATCTTGATTTAAGATTAATCACTTAATTCCATGTGAGATTCTCTAACAGAAAATGGCGGTACCTGAGAAGATCCAAACGAGTGTGACTACAAGGAGCGAGGAGAAGGCGAAGACGAAGAGAATGTTGGACATGGAAAGGAGACATGGGGCGTAGTCTGGTAGATGCAAATCGTGTGGGACGTAAGGGTGAACCTCCATCTTCTTCTTCTTCTTCTTCGTTCCTCTGTGTGATGGGAATGAATGTGAATAGAGATCAGTAAATGTAGAGCGTTGACTGGTGACTTGGACACTGTGAGATGGAAGAGATTCGATTGATGGGATGCAAATCCGAATCCATATTGTCAAATAAAAATTTACCTCTACTTATCTTATATTCCTATGTGAATTTTATAAATATTTATAAGTATTTATGAATTATTTTAAAAATTAAAAAATATATATTATAAATAACTTTAAATTTATATTTAATATTAAATATATCAAAATATTAAAGATAAATAATATATATTAATTTTTTGAATTTATAATTAATGATAAAAATAATATAAATATTAAAAATAATATAAAAATATAAATATTTAAATAATATATTTAGTAGATAACAAATATAAATATTATCACTTTACCAAAAGAAAATTCTACTTTATTTATAAATAGATAAAAAATATTCATATTCATTATTCACAAGTATCTATTTAAATTATTTATTTACTATTTATAACAAATTTTATCTAAAAATACATGTGGATAAAGGTATTTTTGTTTTCTCTCATATACATATTTGTATGACTTTTCCATGCTTTTACCTCGTAGCATGTGGAACTCCAGCTCACAAAAATTAAATATCCGCACTTTCGCCAACTTTTAATGATAATTATAATGTCGACAGAATGCATATCTTACTATGAACTTAGATTGTGATCGTTCAAATCTTCTCATGTATCTTTTATTCTTTAATATATGTATTATAGTATCTGCAATTTATATACACGTTTATTATATATAATTAAAATTTATAATAAATTATATATAAAAATATATATTTTTATTTAAATATATAAATTACATTTAAAATTATTATATACAATTTTCTAAGTATATAAATTATATTTTAAATTTATGATAAATAATTTGTATTATAATAAAAAAAAAATTTCTTTTTTCATGATTTATTTTAAATAATAATATTTAATCTAAAAATAATTATGATAAATAAAAATTAAATTAGATAATAAATTAAAAAAATTATAAACTCCTGTCGAAGAAAAATCTCTAAAAATACTTTCTATACAAGATAAAGGTTCATTAATATATATGGTTAACTACTTTTATTCTTATATATAAGATCCAAATACTTAATTTACCTAAATTAAGAAAAGTAATTAATCTAGTTTATAATAATAAATTTGTCTTATTTTTATATTTTATTCTACACTATTTTTCTCTCATAATTAATTTTAATTACTCTCTTAACCAATTACAATATATTATATATCTTTTAAAGGATATATAATTAATGTATTCTATTAATTTAACATGACATATTTTAATTAGGAGTATTTTAGTCTAAAAATAAATTAATACCTAAAACATTATGAATTAGGTCTTACATAAAAGAACCAACACAATTGCTCTAAGTTGAATCTTATAAATAAGAAAGGTGGTAGTATTAGTTATATAAAATAAATATTTATTATACTATGTGAGTGTATTGAATTCGGATTTCATAAGACATTTTTAACACAAAAAAGTTTTGTAGATTTTAAAAAACTTTGTAAGAATTTAATGACTTTTAAGATTTTTTCAAAAGATTTTATAGGAATGTAATAAATTTTAAGATTTTTTTAAAAAAATTAATCAAAATTTTGTAATATGAAATTTAATAGATTTGTATCTTAAGAATTTATAAGATTTGAAAGGATTTTATCAGATTTAAAAAGACAATGTGAATTTTAAAAAAAACAAAATAATTTTTCTACATACATAAATGATGAGGTTTAAATAAAGAAAATAAGATCAATAAATTTTTTTAATCTTTTAATAAATAATTTATTTTGATTTCATGTCATTTTAAGTAACATTTTGTTTACATACAATCATCTATGTATTTATATTTTTCATTCATACCATTGAATTTAAATAATATGTTCAAATTTATGATACTCATTAAACGGTAAAATTGTCAAAATATATTTTTAATATATGTTTAAAATTTTGATATTTTAATATTAAATTTTATAAAAAAAAAGCATTTGTTAAATTTAAATAATTTAAAATAACTTAAAATATTTATTAATATATAATATTTAATAATTCAAAATAATTTTAAATACGGGCGATAACAAATAGAGAAAAGAAGAAATAAATGAGAGAAATGAAAAAAGAGAAAGAGAATATGACATAGAAAAGATATGAGAAGAGATAGAGAGAAAGAATGAGAATGTGAGGAGAAAGAGAGAGAGAGAGGAAAATAAAAAGACAAGATAAGGAAAAGACACAAAGAGGAGAAAAAGAGAGAAAAGAGAAGATGAGAAAGAGTGAGAGAGGATAAAGAGAGGAAAGTATATAAAAGGCAAGGGAAAAAAGGAGAACAAACAAAAAAAAAGTCATGTAAAATTTCAATAATTTTTATGAGATTGTTGGATGAGTAAATTATTATAAACTCTACTAAAAAAGTCTCATAATTCTCATTTGTTAAAATAATTCATTTAAATCTTTATTTTTTTTTAATATTATAAGATTTTTTTAAGTGAAAAAATTCTTAATTGAATACCACTAGATTTTGACGTATTATTAAAAAAATCTTGTTTGTCAAATACCACTAAATTTTGATGTGCTCTTAAAAATTGTAATTATCTTAATTGAATATCATAAAATTTTTTATATTAATTTTTTAATTAAATACCACAAGTAAAAAAATTATTTAAAATCTCAATCCAATACAACTTTTACTTCATTAGATTGAAAGTTCTTTACTCTTAGATCATATATACAAAATTTTATATTTATCCAAGATGATTTGATACTTCATTCTTATAAAACAAAATTGATGTAATATATATATTTTAAAATATACTAAAATATGAATAATTTGATTACTTTTAAGTTCTTGTTTAATTTTAACAAAATTTGATATACACATATAAAGTGATATGAATTTTCAATCTAACGGTTGAATTTACAAAATTTACATTTAATATAAAGTTATTGAATAATGTCGAGGCTAAGGGTAGTTTATAAACACTCTTCCTCCTTAACCCACCGAGGCGCCTTTTCAAGGACAAAACCGTGATGGCCCAACGAGCGCCAAAACGGACAATACCTCGGATGCGGTGACCCTAACGATGACAACGGACTTACGGTAAGAACATTTGGCGCCCACTGTGGGGCCGATCAAGACAGCTCTTATCAGCCACGCTTATGGTTTTCACCAGAAGCCATAGCAGACGCGCAACAGACGACCTAAATCACACCACTAACATGGATAACGAAGCAGCATTGAGACGACTGATCGAGCAGGTCGAGCAGATGCGGCAGCAACACGCCGTAGATCTACAAAGTATGCGTGCCAAGCACGAAACTAACCTAGCCGCGATGCATACCGCTAATGTGGCTGACCTAGCGGCGCTACGCGTCGAGAACGAGCGTATTCGCGCTCAACTCCCTCGGCGTCCCTCTGATCAACCCCTTCAACAAAGCAACCTGCATGAGGAAGAAGGGCACTCGACGTTCTGCTGGCATTTTTATTTTTATTTTTTATTTTTTTTCCTACTTTTTTATGTCAGTTGTATTAATATTCGACGTAAATTTACGTCGGTTTTGAAGATCCGACGTAAAATTTACGTCTCCCGCTTCTACTTCGGTACGTTTTCTGACGTTTAAGTCTTAAATTTTAAATTATATTATTTTCATCTCTAAAATATGAATTCAAGACCTTATTTAAAGAAATAAAATACACATTACAATAAAATAGACTTTTATGACATTTAATATTATTTTTAGTAATAGTAAAAATTGTTGTAAAATCTTTTACCAATATTTTTACATTAGTATTACTAAAATATTTTGCATGCTAGTAAAAATCTTTATAATAATCAAGAAAAATATATAAGTTTTTGTGACATTTTTATTGGCATTTAATATTTTTTATTATTGCTACTAAAAGTTTAAGAAATAATTCATAATTTATATATTCTTTAATTACTTTATATCTATAATTGATGTGAAACTATCTTTATTTATTTTTATTTTTTTTAATTATTTCATCCCTTAAAAAATATAAATTTATAAAATGAAAATTATTTTTTACTTACATATTTTTTTTATGAATTTTTTTTCAATACATTCCCTTAAATATTGAACTTTTTAGCCAATCAAATTTCTTCTTTTTAAGGCTGACCCACCAAGACTTCAGGTAAGCTCTTGGGACCACATATTTTTTACGCTACCCGATATGATTGATTGCTCAAAGAAAAATAGAAGACAATGAAATCCAATGTTGATGTTGTTGATGTCTTGTTTCAAAATTTTCACCCAACGTGTTATTTTTTTTTTATAACAATAATATTATTGTTACGAATATCTATCAATTTTATAAATGATTAGTCTTTACATATTTTTTGTTGCTAAATTTTAAATCTCAAGCTTTAAATTATATTATTTTCATTTCTAAGACTTGAATACATTTTTAAATCATAAATTTTAAATTATATTATTTTCATCTTTAAAATATGAATTCAAGAACTTATTTAAAGAAATAAAATGTACACTACAACAAAATAAATTTTTAGTGATATTTAATATTATGTTTAGTGATAATAAAAATTACTGCAAAATTCTTTATCAGCATAAATTTAGTACCAATTATTCTTGTAAGATGAGGGTAGTCTTCTACTTATATATTCTTTAATTTTTTTATTTATTTGATTGTCTCATCTCCTAAGAGATGTAAGACTTGTAAAGTGGGTTATTTTTTACTTGCATACTTTTTAATGGATTTTTCCCGATACACCTTCTTAAATTTAGGATTATTGAGCCCCTCAAGTTTAAGATTATTGAGTTTGGTAATGATGAGTGATATTATAGGTCTAACTTAACCCTATGAAACCAACTTATAAAGTAAGAATTATTTTTCACTTATATACTCTTTAATTATCTTTTTTCTTATCGATGTGAGACTTAAGTTTTTCTTGATAAATAATTGTCATTAATAATAAATTTTAATATAATATAAATACATTTTTAATAATTATTATACACTAATTATTAATATTTTTATTAGATAATAAAATAGAAATAATTAATTTATGATTATTAAATAATTATCGTTAATAATAAATTTTATTGTAATGATGCTACTAT